CGAGCGAGAAGAGGTTGGGCTGAAGGGCATCGCGCCCTCTGAAAAGCACTGGGAGGACGGCGCCGAAGCGGCAACCCGAAGGTGGTGGCTCGGAGGCGACGAGCCCTCCCAAAACCGCAGAGAAGCGACGGAAACCACGACAACCAGAGGCCCTAGCCGACCGCGACGCCGCTGTCAGGTGCCGACGCGCTGTGCCCACCGACTCCCCCCAGGGGCGGGCCAGGCTCCACCGCGACACCGCTGCCAAGCGTCGACGAGGAGGAGATGGAGGTACGGCCGGGGTCCGCCTCGGCGCCTCTGGCAGGAGCCGCAGCGCTTGGCCTTGTGCCCAGCGTCAACCTCAGACCCGGCACCACTGACAAGCGCCAGCAGCGCTGCGCGCACCGCGTCCCCTTCCACCGAGGGCGCTACTGCGGCAACAAGCAGGGCAGAGACCCGGCCAGTGACAGGGTGGCGCCACGGCGTCGGGACCAACTTGCCGAGCAGCCGCGGGCGCGTCTGTCGTCGATTCTGGCTCCTGGCCTGGCGTCGCTGGGCCACCCAGGGACGCCCAGCCTCCTCCAGGCGGGCGCCGAGGCGTCCCTGCGCATTTCCACTGCGCGACGGACGGAGGCCGAAGGCACCGACCAGCCCGCCGACCCGCCGCCTTCAACCAGGAGGCAATCTGCCACAGCGGCAAACATCGCGTGGACGCGGCACGTGGCCGTCCATCTGGCCGTATCCACGTCCAGACGCTCGACGCCAGCATCGATAACACTGCTGTGCACGACACCGTCTGTCTCTTCGGCGGAATCCCATTGGCTCAGGGGTCGGGAAGCCAGGGAAAGGCTCAGTGCAAGACCGAGGAGGCTGCCTTGCTCGCCATGGCGAGCACCAACGCGCTCCCCATCGGGTCCACGCCTTTTTACGTTTGCCGTGCACGGGAGCCAGAGGGGGCCAGGGAGGATGATGCGCAGGGCACCGACAGCGGCACCCTGCGCTATGATAACGCTGCCACTTCCCCCAATCCACCCGACGGCACTCTCGATGCCCATCGCGCCGAACGCGCGCAGCACAGACGGCGGGGGAGGCCGAGGCAACTGCAGCAACTGCTGACACTGAGGACGAGGAGATGACCATCGAGGACCTGGAGAGGTTCTCCCCAGGCCTGACTGGCCTCCCAGTAGGCACCATCTGGCCTGGCTTTCTGTACTAGCCACTGGGGTCAACCAGCGATGCACAAGCTCATCTGGCTACTGGCTGGGAAGGTGGACCATATGTCATCGAGATGGCCGACGCTGTGTAGCCGTCCTCGTAGCTAGCAGCTAACAACCAGGCCTTGCTTTTTGCGCAGCAGTGGAACGGAGGCTTGGGCTCCCTGACGCCACCGATATGGCCGCCACTGCCTGCCACCACATTGGCCCACCCTGCTCGGCCGAGGGTGCCGGCGCTGCGCCGCCACCAGGGAGATGAACGGGAGACGAGCAGAGGAGGCTCCTCCTCCTCCTCCTCCTCCACCTCCTCCTCCTCCTCCTCCTCCTCCTCATCATCATCCTCATCCTCATCCTCATCCTCATCATCATCATTATCATCATCATCATCACCACCACCACCACCACCACCACCACCACAACCACAACCACCATCATCATCATCATCATCATCATCATCATCATCATCATCAGCAGCAGCATCAGCATCAGCATCAGCATCATCATCATCAGATTCATCATCAGATTCCTCATCATCCTCATCATCATCATCATCATCATCATCATCATCATCATCAAAATAATCATCGTCATCATCATCAGCATCACCATCATCATCATCATAATCAGCATCACAACCACCACCAACAACAACATCATCATCATCACCACCAGAATCACCATCAGCATCATCATCATCAGCAGCAGCATCCTCACCATCATCATCACCATCATCATCATCATCATCATCATCATCATCATCATCATCATCGTCCTCATCCACCTCATCCTCCTCCTCCTCCTCCTCCACCTCCTCCTCCTCCTCCTTCTCCTCCTCCGCCTCCTCCGCCTCCTCAGCCTCCTCCGCCTCCTCCTCCTCATCATCCTCCTCCTCCTCTTCCGCCTCCTCCGCCTCCTCTGCCTCCTCCGCCTCCTCCGCCTCCCCCGCCTCCTCCGAATCCTCCGCCTCCTCCGCCTCCTCCTCCTCCTCCTCCTCTCCTCCTCCTCCTCCTCCTCCCCTCCTCCTCCTCATCATCATCATCATCTCATCATCATCATCCATCACATCATCATCCAATCACATCATCATACATCATTCCGTCCCCCCCTGCTCCCTCGCCCCCCTCCCCTCCCGTCTCCTCAAACTCACCTCCCTCCAAGTCGTCGCCCTCCCTCTCTCCCCTCCCTCCCTCCTTCACACCTCGGCCTCTTCCCCTCCCATCGGCGCGAGAAACTCCCTCGAGGCGAGGCGGGCAGCCGGTCGGAAAAAAAAAAAAAAAAAAAAAAAAAAAAAAAAGATAGGTGGGGGGGGCCACGGCCCGCGGTGAGGCCAGACCACCGCGCCTCGCTCGACGCGAAGGCACACATTTGGCCAAGGGCGTGGGCAAAATCAGCTGCCACCCCCTTCGCACTGGGCCGCATCGGCCGGCTCTCTCCTCTCCTCGCTTTCCTCTCCTCTTTCTTTCTCGCTCGCCGCCGCTCCCTGAGGGGGTCCGTCCCTCCACTTCATCCTTCCTCTCCCCACCCCCCACCCTCACGCCCCCCCCGGCCCGGGGGGGCGCGAGGGGGAGGAAGGGAAACAGGGAGGAGGGAAGGCGGAGGGGGGAGGAGGAGGGAGAACGAGGGAGGGGGATGGGGAGGAGAACGAGGGAGGGGGAGGGAGGAGGGAGGGAGGGAGATGGGGGAGGGAGAACGAAGGAGGAGGGTGCGCCCCAGCGAAGGAGAGAGGAGGTGAGGGAGGAGAGAGGAGGGAGGAGGGAGGGGAAAAAAGATGGCGGAGAGAGAAGATGCAGAGGGAGGAGACGGACCAGGAGTGACAGTACCCTGAGGAGATGGAGGAGGAGGAGGAGGAGGAGGAGGAGGAGAAGTTGGAGGAGGACGAAGGTGATGAGGAGGTGGTAATGAGGTGGTGAGGATGTGACTGGGAGGAGGTGATGAGATGGACGAGGGACGAATGATTAGGAGAGGACAGTGCTGAGGTGAAGAGGTGATGAGGAGGAGGAGGTGAAGAGGGCACCCACGTGCGCCAGAGGGCGCACCCCGCAGAACCCCAGCGCGCCTCCCTCCACTTCTTGCGCCGCAGCCGGACCTGCGGGGGGGGTCTGAGGGCACGCTGGCTCCAGCGGTCGCATCTCGCGCACGACCCTGTACCCCTCCACCTTCTGCTCATCATCATCATCATCATCGTCTTTGTCATCGTCATCATCATCACCACCAACATCACCATCATCCTCATCATCATCATCCTCATCAGCAGCAGCAGCATAATCAGCATCATCATCAGAATCATCATTGTCATCACCGTCATCATCATCATCATCATCATCATCATCATCATCACCATCATCATCATCATCATCATCATCATCATCATCAGCAGCAGCATCATCATCGTCATGAATGCCGTCATCGTCGTCACCGTCGCCGTCACTACTATAACCGTCGTCCTCGTGATCGTCGTCGTCGATAGCAGCATCTTATTCATCGTGACCGTTGTGTCGTTATTAACCCATCGTCAAGGTCGTCGTCGTCGAGACATCACCAAATTACTAGTATCAGTCATCATCGTCGTTAGCATCATCATCGTCGCCTCCATCATCTCGATCATCATCACCATCGTCATCATCAACACCATAAGCATCACCCTCTTCTTGCTTCTCCAACTGTCCCCCCATGATGCACCTCCTAGTTATCCTGCTCGATGTCCTCATTATCCTCAGAATCTTCATCCTCTTCATCAGAGTCACCATGCATCATCATTTAAATCAGTGTTATAATGTTCGTTTTCCTCCTATTCATCGTCCTAATCATCTCATCCTCATCCTCCCGATCATACTCGTTGTCCTCCTTTCTAAATATATTAGATCTCCCCCTCCTCCCTCTTCGCTCCTCCCTTCGCCCAATCCTATCCTCATTGTGAGAGCCTGCCATACCTGATACAGCGAGTGATGCGCTGGCACAGCGCGACTCATCTCCGAGAGAGCAGGGGTTCAGCATGCGTCAAGGAACGAGGTGTGATGTGCGGTCCCGAGGGCCGCTCCTGTTCGGGGGGGGAAGAGGACGAGGAGGCTGAAGAGGACGAGAAGGCCGAGGACGGGAGAAGGAGGATCGAGGGTGCTGGCGGGCGCGGCTGGGGAACGCCCGCTGCCCATGGTGTCCTGCCGAATGCTGCTGCTCCACTCGGGACCCGTGGGCGGACGGCCCGCACCTCGCCGAGAGCCGCCACGGCCGGCGGTCGGACCTCCGCCTGCCGCCGAGCGGCCGAGGCCTCGCGCAGCACTGCCGGGCGGCGCGCCTCGACCCCTGATGGATGCCAGCACGCGGCGTCGCCGCCCACCGCGGGCGGCACGCAGCAGGCGTCCGCTGCCAGGCGTCATCGACCATCGCGCTGGTGTGTGTGTGTGTGTGTGTTTTTTATCGGGAGAGGTTCGCTCTCGCCCCGCAGACCAAGAAAGTGTGTGTGTGTGTGTGTGTCACCAGCCCGCGGTGTGTCAGCGGGCCAGCGTGAGAGAGCCAGACCCGGGCATGGTCAGTCGCTCTGCTCTCCGGGCTGACGAGGGGGGGGGGATAGCAAGGGGGGCGGGTCGGCGAAGCAGACGCGCGCGGCTGGTTGCCCTTGCGCTCCCCAGCGGCCATGCATCGAGGAGAAGGCCTGGCGGCGGAGCTGAAACCAGAGGAGGAGGAGGAGGAGGAGGAGAAGGCGAGGGGGGGGCAGGAGGAGGAGGAGGAAGCAAGAGGAGGGAGTGGGGAGGGAGGGGCTCGCACACAGCAGCTATCGGGCCCCCTGGACGACAGGGTGCGGCCCACCAGCTCTGCAGCATCCGAATGCAATGAGAGACAGCATAGGTCTTCATTTTACTATAACACAGCTCACATCACCAGCTTAGGCCAGCCATTCTACATGCGCCAGCCTCATCAAGTTGCAAGTATCGCTCTGCACAGCCTACATCAGGCCAGCCAGTACCGTCTAGGCCAGCCTGGGGACTTATGCGACTACACCAGCAGCTCGCTTACTATTCCAGCCTCTCTCACCAGCCTGACTGATACTGGGACGGGGGGGGAGTCTTCACTGGGTTCGGCGGTGGTGGGGGAGGTGAAGGTCGCTATGCACTGCCTACTTCAGGCTAGCCAGTACAGTGGCAAGCCTTATTCGCATACGCCTTGGCCAGTTAACTAGATCAGCATATCACCGCCAGCCACAGCAAATGGCACTCTCTTCAGCAGCCCGCTTACTTTGCCAGCCAAATTTACCAGCCTGGCTGACTAAGGATTTCGGGGGAGCCAGTGTATTGTAGGGGGGATGATCGAGCCCTAACACTGGATGGTAAGCATCGTACATAGGCCAGCCAGTACCGCCTGCGCCAGCCTCCACTCACAGCGCCTACCCTGAGCTTCAGCCCACAACTCTTCTACTGATGGATGCTGTTAGTTGCCAAGTTGGCACGTAAGTCGGGGACGAGCCCCCAGGGCCAATCCCAAGGTGGACGACTTAGTGTAGCACATTTCAAATTCGCAAACATCATCCCAACCGATTACCGTCGCTTGCTCTTATTTTCCTTTATGCAATGCAGCACGTTTACTTGTTTACGGCATACTTGACTAACTTTGGGTAGGTGGTACGACAAATGTGGGTGGGGGCATTCCAGGGGGACTGGAGAACACCTCACTGCGACTGCCTACCTGGCTGCCTAGCACACCCAAGTGCATAGTCATACCACTAGAACACACCGGCTGATCAACGTGCAGGCAAGCCCCTTACTGCATATTTTCTCCATAGCTACACGCGGACTTCGTCAACTCCTGTTCGGAGCCTCCCCCCGTCCGTTATCAGGTTATGCTTATGATTTTCCTTCTCTCTCCCCCAAGGGACGGCTCCGTTACTCTGTGCCCACACGGGCTGCTCTACTTGACTTCTATCACCTTGCTGGTCGGGATCCGCACGGGCCGCCTGCCTCATCAGCGTCGCACTTCGCCAAGTCGGACTTTACGTGTTTTGAGCTCTCACCAGCCTGGTACGCTACGGCCCCGCGGCTCAAGTTTGTCCAACGCCGAGGAGCCCCCTCTCCCCTCTCCCTGGCCTACCTCGGCCTCCTTCTGCCCCTCCTCCTCCTCCTCCTCCTCCTCCTCCTCCTCCTCCTCTTCCTCCCCCTCCTCCTCCTCCTCCTCCTCCTCCTCCTCCTTCTCCTCCTCCTCCTCCTCCTCCTCCTCCTCCTCCTCCTCCTCGGAGCCGCCACACTGTGGGCGGTCGTGGGCTGGATCGCGGGGCAGCAGATCGGCCGTGCACCCCTGGGATCCGGGCGTTGCCCCACTTGTCTCACGCTGGGTACTGTCGCCCCAGCGTCGGGCTCCGAAGCCAGCAAAATCACGATCCGGCCGGAAACATGCCGCAGAGAGATGGGGCCTAGGGTTCGTGATGTCGGATCTCAGGGACAGAGAGCTGACGCACACGGGTACGGACGTCCTGTCCACCAGTGGTCGTGGAGGAGAAGAGCGCAAAGGCACACGAGGATACGGAGGCCTAGGTTGAGGCAGAGATGACGCCTGACACCTGACGGTTGCGCAGACGCCGACCCACCATGCCACAGTGCTCAAGGCCATGGCTGAGACATCCAGCAATTGTAGGTCGCGGACGAGCCGATCGAGAAGGCCAACGACCAGGAGACCAGCGACGACCCAACCCAGGCCGCCGTGGACAAGCAGACCCACCTCGCCATGGAGCCACGAGAGGTTGCGAAGGAGTCCAGATTGGACCCAAACGAAGCCAAAGAAGCACGAAGGCCAAGGAAGCCAAGACAGAAGCCAAGCCACGCTGGGCCGATTTGCAGCCGACGGTATTCGTGGACGAGCACGTTCATAAAGCACTCCAAGAAGGAAGGAAGCGAGGTAGAGGACGCTAACGTCAAGCATGCGGTGCGGGAGGGCGCCGCCAACTGGTGACGGTCGCCCGAAGTATGATGGCCGAGTCAACCAAACTGGAGGTCCTGGAGCATGCCGTGCCAACGCGCAGACTGAGGCCGCAAGAGTGGCAACGCGAGGCAGCCATAGCGCATAGCGTCTCCTCGTCCACCCGGCCCCCCCCTCCTCCTCCTACTCCTCCTTCTCCTCCTCCTCCTCCTCCTCCTCCTCCTCCTCCTCCTCATTCCCGCCCCCCCTGCCCCCTCTCTCCCTCCGACGCCCTTTCTCCCTTCCTCCTCCTTCTTGTTTTGTCCCACACCATCCCCTTCCCCCTTTTCCTTCCGTGTCCACATCCCACCTCATTCCTCGCTCCTCACCCTCGGTCCTCCACCATGCCGCCCTCATCTTCTTTTGCTGTTTCTTCTTAGTATGATTACGACTGCTCTTAGGATTGCTATTACTACCGTTGGTACTACTATGTGTGTTGTCATTATTAGTATGAATAGTATGTATGAATAGTATTAATATTACTACCGGCATTACTATCATTAACAATATGATTACTACTACTAGTATTAGTTTTACGAGTATTACCTTTAATAATAATACTAATACTATCATTATTATTTGTCCCTACTCCGACTAAGTGCAAAGCCTCTGGGACGCAGGCCGACGAGGGACGAACATAGCGGCGTGGGTACCGATGCTCGGGTGCGCCGAACAGGAGGGCCAGGAAGAGGGGGTTCTGCGCATCAGGGTCTTAGGCATGGGCGCAGACGGGGGAGGGCAAGGGAATGTGTTGAAATAAACCAGGCGTGGGGCATGACATCTGCATTTATTTCAGGGCCCGCCCATGATATCCACACACACCTCGTCCTCACTCCTTTTGGACGCCCTCAAGAAATTCTGGGCACTGCCCGTATAGCCTCCTTCTGGTAGACACGAACAAGGCACCCAGGCTCCAAGACCCAGCGAGCGGCCGAAGACGAACTGGCACACGTGCCGCCATCCGAACGCACGACTAGAGTGGATCTGTTGAGACCTCCACCTCCTCCTCCTCCTCCTCCTCCTCCTCCTCCTCCTCCTCCTCCTCTTCCTCATCCTCATCCTCATCATCATCATCATCATCATCAGCAGCAGCATCATCATCATCCTAGTCTTCCTCGTCCGACACCTCCACTGACACCTCCTCCGACACCTCGTTGTGACCTGCCGCAACATCACCATCATCAGCATCAGCAGCAGCATGCTCATCTTCATCGTCATCATCAGCAGCATCATCAGCATCATCAGCATCATCATCAGCATCATCAGCTCATCAGCAGCATCAGCATCGCCATCGTCACCATCATCATCATCGGAATCATCGTCACCATCACCATCAGCATCAGCCTCATCAGCCTCATTATGGTCATCATCATCATCATCAGCATCATCATCAGCATCATCATCGTCGTCATCGGTATCGTCATCATCAGCATCACCATCGTCATCAGCATCAGCACCATGATCAGAATCATCATCATCATCAGCATCAGCAGCAGCATCATCAGCATCATCAGTTTCAGCAGCAGCAGCATCAGCAGCAGCATCATCAGCAGCATCAGTATCAGCATCATCATCATCAGCATCATCAGCATCAGCAGCATCCGCATCATGATCATCAGCCGCGGTATCGTCAGCATCGTCACCAGTATCATCAGCATCAGCCGCACCATCACCATCATCAGCATCAGCATCATCCTCTTAATCCTCAGCATCATCATCAGCAGCATCCTCATCATCATCAGCATCCTCGTCACCATCATCAGCAAAATAATAATCATCATCAGCATCATCATCATCATCATCATCACCATCACCATCAGCATCATCATCATCATCATCATCATCATCATCATCATCATCATCATCATCCCCCTTCCCTCCCTCCCTCCCACTCCATCATCACTCTTCCCTGGTCATTTTCTCCCTGCCGACCCATCCCAACCCATTGCCTCAAGAGCTCCAGGTTTGCCTTGAGGCAGCGGGTTGGGTCGAGTCGGCTGACCCTCCTCCCCCATCATAGCAAGTGACGGTCCTCCCTCCAACTGCGTACCGTCCTCTTCCTTGTCCCCTCTCCCTCCTCGCTTATCGCTCCTCCCGCCTCGCTTCTTCCGCCCGCATCTTGTCGCCCTCCTCTCCTCTCCCTCCACCCCCCTCTCGCATCCCTCCTGCGTCCTGCCTCTTGCGTCGTCTATGCTCCTCGTCGTATCACCGCTCCGCCCTCGCCTTCACTCTCTCCAGCTCCACCCCCGCCTTGCCCTTGCCCCTCCTCCCCTATACTTCGCATCGTCCTCGTTCTTCCCATCCTTCCCTGAGTCGTTGCAGCCGCCCGCCTTCCACGAGAGGACCGTTTTATCACAAACCAACTCGACAGCAGCAGCATAACCACAAACCACATCAACGTCATCAGCAGCATGCTCATCCTCATCATCACCACCACCACCACCACCATGATCATCATCATCATCATCATCATCATCATCAGCATGAGCATCAGCATCAGCATCATCATCATCATCGTCATCATCATCATCATCATCATCATCATCATCATCATCATCATCGGTATCATCAGCATCAGCATCAGCATCATCATCATCGTCATCAGCATCATCATGATCAGAATCATCATCATCATCATCAGCAGCAGCATCAGCATCATCATCATATCAGTCAGTGTTGACTCCAAATAGATAGGAGGACAGGAGGAGGACGAGAGGAGGATGGGAGGAGGACGAAAGGGGGACGGGAGCAGGACGGGAGGAGCAAAATCAAGCAAGCGGAAGCAAGCAAAAGGCAACGAGCAGTAACAAGCAAGCAAGAGACAGCGATCAAGTACAAGCAAGCGACAGCAAGCTCACGAGAGCAAGCTAGCAAGAACACGCACGAGCAAACAAGGGCAAGCGACTCATAGAAACGCATAGGAATACATAGGAGTCGCCATTGGAAATAGCTGGGGGGGCGTTGGAAATAAGGGGGGGCATTGGCAAAAGTGGTGGCGGGGGGTGCCATTGGAAATAAGGGGGTGTCATTGGAAAAAGGGGGGCGTATGATGAGCTAAGACTCCTATAGGGCAAGCCTATTTGGAGAATCAGCATCATCATCATCATCATCATCATCATCATCATCATCATCATCATCATATCAGCCAGCGTTGACTCCAAATAGATAGGAGGACAAGAGGAGGACGAGAGGAGGATGGGAGGAGGACGAAAGGAGGACGGGAGCAGGGTGGGAGGAGGACGGGAGAAGCAAAATCAAGCAAGCGCAAGCAAGCAAGCAGAAGCAAGCAAAAGGCAGCGAGCAATAACAAGCAAGCAAGAGCCAGCGATCAAGTGCAAGCAAACAAGGGCAAGCAAGAGCAAGCAAGAGCAAGCAAGCGACAGCAAGCACGCAAGAGCAAGCTAGCAAGAACACGCACGAGCAAACAAGAGCAAGCGACTCATAGGAATCCATAGGAATCCATAGGAGTCGCCATTGGCAATAGCTGGGGGGGCCGTTGGAAATAAGGGGGGGGCAATTGGCAAAAGGGGGGGGAGGGGGATGCCATTGGAAATAAGGGGGGAGCCATTGGAAAAAGAGGGGGGTGCTAAAGACCGATTACGTATGATGAGCTGGAACTCCTATAGGGCAAGCCTATTTGGAGAATCATCATCATCATCATCATCATCATCATCATCATCATCATCATCATCATCATCATCATCATCATCATCATCATCATCATCATTATCATTAGCATTATCATTATCATCAGCAGCAACATCATCATATTCAGCATCGTCGTCAGTATCATCGTCAGCATCATCATCAGCAGCAGCAGCAACAGGATCCTCATTATCATCACCATCATCATCAGCATCATGATAATCATCCTCATCCTCATCCTCGTAATCATCATCATAACCATCATGATGATCATCATCATCATCATCATCATCCTCATCATCATCACCATCAGCATCCGCATCATCATCACCACCACCATCATCATCAGCATCAGCATCATCATCATCCTCATCTGCATCATCATTAACAACAACGACAACGTCTTCTCCTTCCTCCCCCTCCTCCTACTCCCCCTCCTCATCATCATCATCCTCATCAGAATCATTATCAGCATCATCATCATCATCACCACCACCATCATCATCAGCATCAGCATCATCATCATCCTCATCAGCATCATCAACAACAACGACAACGTCTTCTCCTTCCTCCCCCTCCTCCTCCTCCTCATCATCATCACCATCATCATCATCCTTATCCTTATCCTCCTCCTCCCTGACTGGAAGACGAACCAGAAACCCGAAGCGGAGCGCCCGCCTGTGCGCGGTTGGCGAGCAGCGCGACGCACAGCTCCTCGTCCTGGGGCCACGGGCCGAAGCGCAGCCTCTGCGAGGGCGCTGCCGGACCACTTCCGCACCCTTCACGCGGCAGGTGCCGGCCGCCAAGACCGCGCCGCAGCGGCACCTGCCGCGCGGCACCTGCCGCGCGCGGCATCGCGAATTCTTTCGACGCCCCGAGCGGAAGCCCGCTCTGGATCGCTGGGAGCGCCGGCTGCCACTGGCCCCGACCAGGCAACGGCGGCCGTCTCGCCGTGGATCGGAATCACGTGCGCTGGCCGCAACTGGCCCCCTGCCAGCTGTCGAGCGGCCACTCCACCGTGGATCCCTCGGAGTTGCGCTGGCCGCCGCAGTCACCGCAGACATGAGCCCCGAGCGGCCGCTAGCGCTGTATCGCTCTTGGCCGCCTGCCTTGGGTCGTCGGGGACTCCATCTGCCCTCACTTGGACCGTTGGTCGCCTGCACCGCTGGGATCTTTGGACCGGTGCCTCGTTGCCTCCCCCCGTGCCCTCTCCCCCTAACTTGCTCTGCCTCTGCTCAGCCCGCTTCCCTGTCTGCCGCCCGCGGATGCCTGCGTCGCCCACCCCATGCCGCCTCTCTTGGTGCCGGCGGTGGTCTCCTGCTGTGCTGTCCTGCCCCTCTCACGGGCAGCCGTCTCTGTTTCTCTCTGTATGCCTCTCTCTGTCTCTACAGATATACACACATTAAAATATGCAGTTCGATGCCTATGTGTATATGTATAGATCTATACGTGTACTTAAGCATATCTGTGTATACAAATATACAACTATATATAAGTATAGTATACCGATACACGTATACACATATAAGATATGTACATGTGTGTATTTGGATAAATCTATATATATACAACAAATGCGTGTGTATGCATATAAATATACGCACGTGTACATGTGCACATACATATATGCATATGCACACAAATATGTCTGTATGTCTCTCTATATATTTATATGTTTATACATGTATCCGGGTCGTGTCTGCCTCCTGCCGCTTCTGCTTTCTACTCGTGCTTCGTTTGCTCCCGGTGCCGCACTCAGCGCCGAGTCGAGAGCGCTGACTGCCCCCATAGCAGCAATCTTTTACGCTGACACACGCTGGCCTCCTCCATCGCAACGGCCGCCAAGGGGCGGGACGGCCGCACGAAGCAGACTGGTCGGTTCATCTTCCGCGCTTGTGCACTTCTGACGTGCACGGCGTGCCCTTCCACTTTCCCAGGACTGAGGGTGGGCGCCCAGGGCCACAGCCTCCTCTCTCCTCCTCATCCCTCGTCTTCCTCGTCCCCCTCCTGCCCCATCCCTTTTCCTTCTGAATTCGCAGGCCCAATAGGCCAGAGGCGTGCTGAATCTCTGGTAAGAGATAATAACATTTCTAGCTGCGCGCGCGTGGCGGCCCCTGGGGTTCCCCGGACGACAAGCACCCCAGGAAGTTCCGGGTCGGAGATGACCGAACTTCTGGGCGCGGCCCTGGAGGCGTCTGCAGCGCTCCAGGAGCGACCCAAGGAGGCGCCAAACAGGTGGCAGGCCCGACGGGCTGGGTCAGAGCGCTCCAAGACGGCCCAAGTTGGCCTCGAGACGGCCCAAAAGGCGCCCAAGACGCCCCAGGAGGGCTTCAAGAGCAGCCCAAGAGGGCCCCGAGAGGCAGAATTCACTGATCACGCTTAGGTTTTCCAAGGATATTGGGGTTACTGCCTTTTCAAGCTTCCAACCGCCCAGGACGGCATCAAAGGCTTCCAAGATCGTCCCAAGTCAGCCCAAGAGGCTCCCAGGCCGGCCCCAAGAAGGCCCCAAGAGAGCCCCAAGACGGCCGACGATGCCCCCCAAGAGGGCTCCAAAGGATCCCAAGAAAGCCCCAGAAGGGGAACCCGAACCGACATGTCGAGCCTTCCCCGAAACTTGCCCCCCGAGACCGCCAGCAGACCCCCAAGAAGCCCCCAAGAGGCCCCCGGAGGCCCGAAAGCAAGTCCAACGGGGCCACCAAGAACCACCAGGAGCCCCCAAAAATGCTACAATGAGGCCGCCGAGACGCCTCCCGAGAGATCCCAAGAAACCTCCCAAAGAGGCACCCTGTCCACGACCCAGTTTGCTCCCGATTGTACCCCAAGAGGCCGTCGAGAGGCCTCCTCCTCCTCCTCCTCCTCCTCCTCATCCTCCTCCTCCTCCTCCTCATCCGCCTCCTCCTCCTCCTCCTCCTCCTTCTCCTCCTCCTCCTCCTCCTCCTCCTCCTCCTCCGCCGCAACGTCGGGCACACGCTGGACGTTGAGGGATGCTGCTGGCCGCCTGGAGAGAAGCGAGGAAGCAGAAGTGGTACGAGAAAGAAGAGCAGACGAGGCGGTAGATGGAGGAGGAGCAACGCCGGTGGCAAGGAGAAAAGAAGGAGGATGATAAAGATGACTGCGAGGGCGAAGAGGAAGGGACGAGGGGGCGGAGAAAGCAGGGAGGGCGGAGGACGAGGGATCAAAGAGGAGGCGGAGGAGGAGAGAGGGAGAGAACGAGAGCAAGCAAGGGGAGGTGGCAACGTCGTGATCGACATTGATGCCAGCAGCGCAAACGCCAGGTGGAGGACAGAGGAGGCAGGAGGAAGGAGGAAGAAGGAAGGAGGGAAAACAATTGAGGGGAGGAGGAAGGAGGAGCGAGAGGAAGATGAGGAGGGAGAGGAGGAGGAGGAGGAGGAGAAAGGGTGAGGACGGAGAGGAAGATGAGCAGGAGAAAGAGTAGGAGGGAGGGGCCGCATCCTGGAGCCGGTCCCCCAGGTCGATCGCGCGCGTCCAGCAGGCCTCTGCCCCCTCGAAGTCCCTGGCGCCAAAGAGCGCGTTGCCCCGCTCCTGCCCCGCCACGGGCCAGAGGCGCCGACGACGACGACGACGACGGCAGCGGCGGCGACACGGCGGCGGCGGCGGAAGGACTGATTGTCAAGAAATGCCAAGCAATGAGGAGGAGGAGGCGGAGGAGGAGGATGAGGAGGAGGGAGGAGGGAGGAGGAGGAGGAGGAGGAGGCGAGGAGGAGGAGGATGGAGGAGGAGGAGGAGGAGGAGGGGGAGGAGGAGGAGGAGGAGGAGAGGAGGAGGAGGAGGAGGAGGAGGAGGAGGAGGAGGAGGAGGAGGAGGAGGAGGAGGAGCCAAGCACTGCCATTCAGTGCCAAGCACCGCAATTGGCAATGCAAGGCAATGCAGAGCAACGCCAAGCGAGGTCAAGCAGCGCCGAGCAACGAAGGGCTGCGCCGAGCAACGGTTCGAGCATGCCACGGAATGTCGAGCAGTGCAAGGAAATGCCAGGCAGAGCTAAGCAACGATCCCTAGCAATCGCAAGCAACGCCAAGCAATGCCAAGCAATGCATTGCGAAACCAATGTCAGGCAAAGCCCCGCAATACCAGACAATGCCACGCAATGCCAAACAACGCCAAGCGAGGTCAAGCAATGCCAAACAATTGTTGCATTGCACTGCCTTGTTGCTCAGAACTGGTTTGAACTGATTTGAAAGGAAGCAGACCCCATAATTGGGGTCGCGCCAGGTTCATGACAAGAAAACGCACCCCATCCTGATAACGGTTCCGAACGTGTAAGACGAATATGCGTGGCGCTGAAGCCAGAGCGCCATTGTGAAAACTATGTGCTCCAGCCTTGTACCGGTTGCAAACGTTTAAGACAAACTTGCGCGGCGCTAAGGCGAGCGTCTCAGTTTGAAAACCACCTGTGTTCCATCCTTATAGCTGTTGCAAACATCACGCTTCGTGCTGATAACTGATGATGGAACATCAGGCGAAACGCCCAGCCTGCCCTACCGAAACGCTTAGGTATACTAAAGGTAAGATGCTTCGATAAGACAAGGAGCTGAGGGCGAGGAGGAGGAGGAGGAGAAGGAGCCTGGGAGGCGCGCAGGAGCCCCAATGTCAGGCCTGCCCTCCCTCCCCTCCCCTTCCCTCCTCTCCCGTCGCACCCTCCCCCCTCTCCCCCCCTTTCCACAGAAGCCTTCTCTCCCATTTCCCCTGTCGCCCTCGTGCGTTCCCTCCCCTGTCCACCCTCGCCCCTCCCACCAGTCCTCTCATCTCCCACCTCTCCCCTCCTCTCCGCGTCTCTGCCCTCCTCTCCCCTCCTCTCCCCTCCTCTCCCCTTCCCCTCGCCTCCCTCTCCCATTATCCATCCCCCCCTCTCCCCTCTCCAGCCTCCCCTCGTTTCCCCCCTCGACTGCAATTTCTCAGCGATGACAAAGTATGAATGCTGCTCAGGCTTGCCGCCATGACCCCGTTCATCTCTAGCCCTCTCCGCGCACTGAAATGTTTGACCCCCGATTCCGAAAAAGTGTGTTCGGTCCTTCAAAGTGGCGTTCCCGCTGCAGCGCTGGCCTCGCGTTAGGATCGGCGCGCGGCTCCCGTCGTTCAGAATGGCGCGCTCGCCCCAGCGCGGAACACTTTTCTGGACCCGAGTCATTCCTCATCGGTATCGTCCCCCTGATTTCTCCTCCTCCACCTTCCCCGGTCATCCTGCTCCTCCCGCTCCTGCCACTCCAGTAACCGATGCTGATGTTCGTCATCGTCCTCCTCCTCCTCCTTCTCCTCCTCCTCCTCCTCCATTCATTTTCCTTACAAATAACTTCTCCCTGTCGCACCCCGAGGCCAGTTTTGAGGGCGGGCCAGGCGTTTCGCCTGAGACTTCCTCACCACTTATGACTCTGAAGCTTTAGAAATGGCAACAGCTTCACAAATGCAGGGCGGGTCGTTTTCAGAATGTGGCTCTCGCCTTAGTGCCGCGCACATTCGTTTTGAAACTGTGCAGAAGTTTTACGGATTGAGGGCGGGTCGTTTTCAAAATGTGGCTCTCGCTTTAGCGCCACGCACACTCGTTTTAAAACTTGCAAGAGTTGCACGGATTGAGGGCGGGTCGTTTTAAAATGTGGCTTTCGTTATAGCGCCGCGCACATTCGTTTTTAAACTTTGCAAAAAGTTTGACGGATTGAGGGCGGGTCGTTTTCAAAATGTGGCTCTCGCCTTCGCGCCGCGCACATTCGTTTTAGGGGCGGGTCGCTTTCAAAATGTGGCTCTCGCCTTAGCGCCGCGCACATTCGTTTTAAAACGTTGCAAGAGCTTCACATATTGAGGGCGGGTCCTTTTCAAAATGTGGCTCTCGCACTAGAGCCGCGCACACTCGTTCCAAAAGTCTTCAAGAGCTTCACAGATTGAGGGCGGTTCCTGTTCAAAATGTGGCTCTCGCCTTAGCGCCGCGCATATTCGTTTTAAACGTGTGCAAGAGTTTCACGGATTCCCATGATCAACGTACCAGAAACGGCACTTTGGAAGCATTCAGGATTATGCGGGTGCAACGTTTATGTTGATTCGCGGTGTTGAAGTCCCAACAATGGCGTTCTGGCACGACTCCAGATCGGCAGGACGCAGCATACAGGTTGATCCGTAGCGTGGAAATCCCGAGAACACATACTTCAAGGTCTTCAAGCGGTTGTCTTCCAACGAGGCAGTTCCCTCAATGGAAATGAACCGTTGTAGGGGCCTATGAAGAGGGAGCTTGGAGGGAGGGTTAATTCCAACATCGTTGATGACTCTTGGGGCCTCCTCCTCCTCCTACTCCTCCTCCTCCCCCACCGCCTCATTACTCATCTGCCTCCTCCTCATCCTCCCGCCCAGCCTCCTGCTCATCCACCACCTCCTCCTCCTCCTCCTCCTCCTCCTCCTCCTCCTCCTCCTCCTCCTCCTCCGCCTCAATGTACACAGCTCCCACGTCTGATTGCGCATGACACGATGGGGTCACTGGGGGGTTCTGGGTCCGCTATAAAACCCGTCGGCGGATAGAGAAAAATCAGCGTTGTGAGAAGGGATAGGTGGGAGGGGTAGGATATCGAACATGGCGCGAGCTCATCCAGGTTGCCCCTTACCCCCTGTCCTCTCCCCTCTCCTCTCCTCCTCCCAGCTTCCCATCTCATCCTCTCCCATCTCCATCCTTCCCCTCCCACGCCACCCATCCCCGTCCACTCCCCTCTCCCCCCGTGCATCCCATCCCCCTCCTCCATCCCTTGCCTCGGCTGGTCCAGTCGTACGCGAAATGCTGGGCAGCGGTAGGCGGTAGCCAGCCCTGGCAGGGCGATGTCGGAGTTTCGCCGAGGGACCTCGGTGCCGAACGCGGTGCACCAGAGCGCAAAGTCTTGATGCCAAACGGCGAACGCGGCCGAACGCGGTGGTGCATCACTACGCCGCACACGGCTCACGCGGAACGCGGTGCAACAGCATCTCGAATGCCCTGATCTACACCCCTGGCCTTGAATAAGAACACCCTGGCTCAGGAAGCCCAGACACTATGCTGTCCTGGATGTGCGTACCTCGCAGGCTCGGGGTATACGCTCACTCACGCACACAATTACATCTAGATAGTCACACATATGCATACACACATATACACACACACATGCACACGCACACACATTGAGAGACTGGCAGGAGAAGACGAAGGTACAACTTTCCTACCCAACATTGACTGGGCGCACTGGGATCATAGAAGATTATACCATGCACCCTGCGGGGGACAGGACAATGCCCTCTGCAGGGGGGCACAATGGAATACAGTACAATATCGCCTAATGCTCTGGCGGGGCTATATTGTTGGCCCCATCTTTCAAGGGTGCGGATATGGCAGCAAGGATATCTCAATCGAATCATGGCGATCCCACGCAGGCCACCAACCTGACGTTTGCCGAATCTAGTGCTGTCCGGTCTGCCGTTATCTCATGGCTCGCCCTGGCCCTCTAACCGACGTGCTCTGCCAGCGTGAAACGGCATGGTCCAAACCAGCGGTCATGAGTGCCTTCACGCCGCAGGGCGGAACAGGAGGAGGGGACTCAAGCTGGTGCCCGTGTCGTGTCTTGAGAAGTGTGCACTGCGCTGCCCGCTGCTCGGTCAGCGTGGCAGGGCACCGCCGCCCGCCTGCCCGCCTGCCCGCCTGGACGAGGAGGGTGAGCAGGATGAGAGGGGGGGGAGGGGGCGGGTGAGGACGAGGGGCTCGGGAGGGAATGAGAAGGATGAGAGGGATGAGGAGTGGGAGGGATGAGGAGGATAAGAGGGAGATAAGGAAAGAAAGAAGAGGAAAAGGAGGAGGACGAAAACGACGACGACGACGACGACGACGACGACGAGAGAAGGAGACGGAGAGGAAGGAGCGAGAAGGAGGGGAAGAGGGAATAGGATGTGGGGGAGATCAGCGGGAGATGCAAATTCGCCGGCCCAACTGGCAAGCGGCGTGCGAAAATCTCCGGTAAGAGGTTTATATAATGTTTCTAGTTTGCGCGCGCGCGGCGGCTCCATGGGGGTCCTCGAACGAAGAGCACCCTGGCAAGGTCCCGGCAGGTTCGGATCAGAGATGCCAGAACTCCTGGGCGCGGCCTCTGGGGCCTCCCGAGCGCCCCAGTGAGGCGCCAAAACGGTGGCGCGCACCACGGCCTCGGGCCAAGAGCGTTCCAAGATGGCCCACGTTGGTCCCAAGACGGCACAAGAAGCGCCCAAGACGCTCCAGGAGGGTTCCAGGAGTATTTCGCAAGGCCCCGAAGACACAAAAAAACATTGATTTTGCATTGGTTTTCGGACGATGTTGGCAGTATCGCCTTCTCGAGCTGCCGACCGCCCTGAACGGCCAAAGAGGCCGCAAAATGGCTCCAAAACGCCCGCATATGATCGACCCACGAAGCCAGAAAGGAATAAATAGAAATGTGAGGCGTGGCAACGTTTGCAAGACACCTGATTAATCGACTTGCAATGCTGAGTGTATCGATCCTGATGTGCCGTGCCAAGAGCTGTGCTGCGCTGCGCCGTCCTGAATTGCGATGTGC